ATTTATCACAGTTATTCTTTATTTTTCTGCTTTTTGCAGATTTGCACACAACGCTCTCTCTTGAATCGCCCACGGAAAAAATAATTAAAAAGCACATCAAGGAAAACCAAAGTGGAGATATCATCTAAATATCCTCTTATGACACATATCACAATCTTTCTCAAAGAGACAGGCCTCTTTTTGCTTAAACCCCTAAATTTTGAGTGTGTGAGAAAGAACCTGCAATGATTATATTACATATCAGGCAGCCTTACGTAGGAAAGTAGAAAAGCTTTAACCAGGATTTGAACCAGAAACACTCACTTAATGGATAAACTTTAAAAAGATTAGTACAAAGTAGACTGTTAATTAGGGGGGCCACCGCCGCAGGCAAGGCCCACCTACAACTCTTCGAGATACTTATTAGGGGGGCCACTGCCGTAGTCAAGGCCCACCTATTACTCTTCGTCATATTTATTAGGGGGGCCACTGCCGCAGGCAAGGCCCACCTTCTACTCTTCGAAATACTTATTCTGTGGCTTATTAGGGGGGCCACTGCCAGAGGCAAGGCCCATCTATTACTCTTCGTCATATTTATTCTGTGGCTTGTAATCGTTTTCCCGTTTCCGCCCGAATTTCGGCGCGTAACTTGTCGCGCACGGTTCCGCGTATCGGGCCCAAAACCGGCACGCGCGTCCGAGTAAACGGCGAAAAGTGGCGAAATTTGGGCCATAGGAATGAATGGGAAAGTTCGAGAAACGGGACGAAAACCGTAACTAGTCCCGCATGGTTCGACGGATCGGGCCCAAATTTGGCACGCGCGTCCGACCCCACCATGGGATGCGTGCTTGTTCAAAAGCTTCTCAAAGGACTGGGCGTTTTCGAATAAACGCCAAAAAACGCCGCCCCATAGGAAATGAATGGGAAACGGCCCGAGAGATGAGGCCCGTCAGGGCCTCATCGCTCGGACCCACAACGTCCGAGAGACCTCGTTCGAATATTGAACCGATCACGAAAGATGGGCCTCCGCCATATCGGAGCCACAAGGCCAGATCTCGCACCGTTTTAGTGCAAATTAGGAGGTCAGAGAATTTTTCCCACACTCTAGCTCTGCTCGTTAAAGCCTTTGAGTGCCTTGTGGGGGCATTCAACGAAAAAAAGTCAAACTGTGGCCTATCGCGACCAAACCGTGGGGCCGAGTGGTGCCAAAACGGCTTCAAAACGTAGCCGCGGGCGTCATCTTTCGCCCGATGTGCCCGCTTTGGACCTCGGCCTTACGGTTTTCCGGCAACCGGGCCCAGAGTCCAGACTTTCACAACCCTTTCTAATAGGATTTGAATGGAAGAAAGGAGAGATTTTTTTGGGCCAGAGACAAAACGGCCCTCATTTTGAAATTGCCATAAAAAAAATAACCGCTGGAAGCAGGCAAAAAATAAACAGATGTGCTGAGACCTGAAATTCTCGGCCCGCTCACGGTCCAATAATTTTTTTGTTTTGTGATATAGTTTTCGAACAGCAAATAGCCGTTCGGAGGCAACTTTTGATCAAAACTGTCAGTTGTCTGTCAGTGCTACGGCTTACTGATGAGTCACAGGTGTGGGAGTTGAGACTTTGGCCTGGCTGCTGTCGCCGTGGCGATCAGCAGAGCTCTGTGAGCTGTGCTTCTGGTTCCAGGCGGGCAAAGCCCGCTTGGAAAGATTTAAGCAATACATTGCTTTTGGCTCAAGGCGGGCGAAGCCCGCTCTCAGTGATTTTTTGAAATACGTTATTTCTGTTACGAGGCGGGCGAAGCCCGCTTAGAGGGCTTTAGTCAGAGCCCGGTTCTGGTTCTGGGGATCAGAACCAACCGGGTCGGAACCGGACCGGGGCCATGTCATACCTCGTTGCGTAGGTCTTTTTCTCAGCTTTCAGCCAATGTGACCCCTGACCTGCCCACCACTTCTGTATTTGGTCAGCGGGCCCCAGAGCTCAGCCGGGTCCCTCCATCACTGCGTCTCTCCCTCAGGCCCTCTCATAGGCGCGAGCCCACATTACAGAGAGCCCAAATATCGGTTGGCCGACCTGTTCCTGGACGGGCAGCGGGTGGCCCCCCTCCAAAATTTCTTCAGAAATTTTCTAGTTAGGGGGGCCACTGCCGCAGGCCCACTTATTACTCTTCGTCATATTTATTCCATCACTTATTCTTCATCCGCTTCCGCGTACCGTAACTCCTCCCGCACGACGGATCGGGCCCAAAATTGGCACGCGCGTCCGGACCGACCTGGCAATGCGTGCTTGTATACAACTTTCTCAAAGGAGCGGCGTTTCTGAGTAAACGTCAGAAAAGTGGTCAAAACGCCGCCCCATAGGAAATGAATGGGAAATTTGCGAAAAGATGAGGTCCGTCATCGCTCGGCCCCACGACGTCCGAGAGACCTCGTTCAAACATTGAACCGGTCACCAAAGATGGGCCTCCGTCATATCGGAGCCATGAGGCCAGATCTCGCACCGTTTGCCCGCAATCGCTGTTGACGTTTTAGTGAGAAGTAGGAGGTCAGAGAATTTTCCCCACACTCTAGCTCAGCTCGTTAATGCCTCTGAGAGGCCTGTGGGGAGATTCACCGAAAAAAAGTCAATATGCGGCCTCTCGCGACCAAACCGTAGGGCCAAGTGGCGCCAAAATGGCCTCAAAACGTAGCCGCGGGCGTCCTCTTTCGTCCGATGTGCCCGCTTTGGACCTCGGCCTTACGGTTTTCCGTCAATCGGGCCCAGAGTCCAGTCTTTCACAACCCTCTCTAATAGGATTTGAATGGAAGAAAGGAGAAATTGTTTTCACCAGACCCAAAACGGCCCTCATTTTGAAATTT